TGGTTTGGGTTCTTCAATAAACCTAAACCAAAAGTCTGTTCTTTTTGGTAGAAAACGTTTGGTGAAATAACACCAAAAGAAGTCATGTTTACAGTTCATTACTGGCCATATTTGGAATAAAGCAAACATTTAGAAGAAAATAAGACCAAAACTGAACCCTGAAACGGTTGCCATAGAGGAAGATTGATGTTCCAAACACTCTCCATCTAATCTAACTTAGTTTGAGGTAATAGACATTGTAGCCTTAATTGCAGCGACTCTAAGACTGTGGGAGCTACTGAAAACAAATGCTACTTTTTCAGATTTTTTTATTCATGCACTACTTTGTGTTGGATAATAAACTAACAGCCCAAGAAAATACATCGAAAGCTGTGGATGGAAGGTGACAAAAGGTTTAAGTGGTCTGAAAATCTTGCAAGGAATAAACATGAGAAGGTGATGGCGTTAGGGAAGGGTACGCAAACTCCACTGGCTGGGTGTGGTGTGTGTGGGGTGGGGGGTTTTGCTGAAGCTAAGATCTAATGATGTGGATCAGCGTGGACAAACATGACTTCTTCATAACGCAGGATTTGTTTGAGGAGACGATGCCACTCTGGAATCTGACTTGACATGATTAAAGAAGAGGAGACTTAAGTGGCTTACACAAACTGAATGCTGTGCGGGTCAGCATATGGGCCACTTAAATCACTCTGGGATTTATATATGGATTTTCCCTGCACTTTCATGTTGGGAGTGTTTGACAAAGCTAAATACACCTCAAGGATTCCAATGCTTGAAAATACATGTCGAGAACGAAGAGCGAGCTAATACCTGGTGATAAAAAGGTTGATTATTAGGAAAAATATGTATTTTCCACAGTTTTATTAGGGCACTTGAGGCAAAACCATTATAAGTTAAATAATCTGACAAAAAAAATTAAGAGGTTTATATGTGAGAGTGGAGTATTATAACTCCACTTTTTACTTCTTTTTTATTTTACTATTCCTGGGTATGTGCATAAAACATTGGTAAAACATTTAACTCTCTTCTAAAGAAGGAGGGTTATTCCCTTAATATTAAGAGCCAGGCTAGTTAGTTAATCAGAGATTTTTTTTTTTTGATTAACTTTCTTAAGAAAAACACAAGATGTGATATTAACAGAACTGTCATTTTTGCCTTATATTGGGGAAGAATTGGAGGTTCTCATCATCTACAATATGAAATTTCTTTGATATCTGGAATTTCAACATGACTGTCTCAGTTTTATCAAATTTGATTTTGTTTGCTGATATTTACCATTTGGACATTTTACCTATTCAAGAAATAACAAGAACTGGAATCAGCTGGAAAGAGGCCCAAGTTGTTTAATTTAAACCACACTGTAGTTAATTTAATTTACACACATTGATCACTGCAAAATGTATGTAAATGCTGCACAAATGTTACACCAATTACACAGATGTAATGTAACTTAATCTCACTCTTGGCTATACAGTCGCTCCGTCTGCTCTTATCAAGATTCACTCAACATGACATGTCACGTGATTGGAGGGACTGACATGGCAGGAGAATTTGTTGTATTTTCTAATTACTATAAAAATTAACATATTTTACCTCTTGGGGATATTCATGCACTTTGTACACGGCACTCAGTAAGTAGTTGGTTTTAAGCATTGAACATTCAGCCCAATATGGCCACGCGATCATTTGGTTTGAATGATTATTTCGTAATTTATCTGTCCTGTGAAGTTGACACACCTAATCTCAATGCAGATGCAATGTTTCGAGGTGCATCATAAAATACGTAGTTCATAGATGTGACAGGACTTGATTTAATTCTTCACACATTATGCCTCTGCAAATACAAACAGATGTGGTGAGCTGAGACAGTGTGACAGTAGCTTTACTGTTATCACTAGTTGAGGAGGACCTTTGTCTTAATGTGATCATTAAAATTAAAACCAATTCTTTCTCTAATGGGATTAACGACTGGGACGCTGCTGAGACAATGGTAAATATACTGGAAATCAGCATCACAAAGACTTGCCAGAGTGCAATATTTGCTCTCGATATTTTTAAAAGGAGCAGCAGCAGCAGCAGCTATCTCACAGCAGCTTTTGGATGTTTATCCAATCACAGGTAAGTTAGGAAATATGATGACTGTATCATCAGACCGTGGCACATAATTAAAATGATTTGCCCTGCTGTTTGTTTACACTCATAAAAGCATGAGAGCACCAAATGCAGCTGTGCGTGCTGCCTGTCTGACCTAACAGTCAGTCTCTGTGTAATTGAGGCAGATTTCTCTCACAACATGCTTGTGTTTGCACCACCCAGCATGGTAACTTATAAATCTTTTATCCAAACTGGCCTAATTGCTTAACCATCCATGGTCCGGTCCAGAGGTGAATGGTAGGAGGGAAGCTGGGGATGCCGTGATTGTCACAAAAACAACAAGCAAAGAGGCCAGAGCCTATGCTACCTTTGTCTGACAAGTCTGTCTTTCATCTCTATAGACTTCACTCATATGTGATAAAGTGAAATATGAGGCCAGAAGATTAATGGTTCTATAACGAGCAATTGAAGACTTAACACTGAGTTGTCCTTCTTATATATTCCTTATTGAAGTCAATTGCAATACCTTACTTGTTTACCATACACATTACTTCATCAGGATCTATCCAATTCAAATAAAATCTGTGATTTTTTTTGCAAAGTGAAGTCTTGTTGAAAGAGTATGGTAAATGGCTTGCACTTGTACATTGCCTTATCAAGTCCTTAGGACGCCAAAGTGCTTTACTCTACATTCAGTCATTCATCCATTCATGCATACATTCACACACTGGTAGTGGCACGCTACGGTATAGCCACAGCTGTTCTGGGGCACACGCTAACCTCTACCAGGAGAGAAGGCAGGTGAAGTGTCTTGGCACAACTACAGAGGCAGAAAGAGCAGGAATCAAATCGAATTCCTACCACTGATAACCAGCCTCTTGATCTTGTATAAATCCAGATTAAACTGAGTCCATAGGTCCAAGCTTATGGCTAGGCTATCACACCCGATAGTCCCGTAGACTCAGTTGCAACATTTGTTACATTTTCAGTTGGTGCAGTTCGCTTTCACACAGCACAGTTTCACATGAACGAAGCCCCCTTAGGGCAACGTGTTACCCCTCTCGCCTTTGGTAGCACTGCACCAAGAACCACTGAAGGTTATTGAGATTAATTTACTACTTCAAGAATTGTAAATAAAATTAGAGTGATGTGAGATTTCTCTTTTGCCTTTTGTAAAAGACTGTAAGACATTTCTCCCATCAGCGCAATACATGCACATTTTTAGTATTTGCAGTGAATGTAAATGTTGCACTATAATCTACTTCCTGCTTTTGGAATGGTCTACAGTCCGCTCGGCGTTCCCTTATACACTTGAACCACAACAGAGTTTATTTAAACCAATCTAAGATTTTGGAATGAGACACCAAGGCAGACTTATACCCTCTTAAAGCAGCTTCAGTCTGAAAAGCATCATACATCCTGTGCTTCCCTGATCTTTATTTTCTATGTTCCCACTCCCACTCTGCCTTTCTTCACAGCTGAGGATGCCTCTGTTGCTGCTGCAGGGTCAGAGCTATGCACCAGTTTGAGGGGGAAAAAAAGTAGTATGAGCGAACATGTAAGAGCCTGTGGGGAGTTTCTGACTCCACAGCCATCTCTTCTCCAAGTTCCTGGGAGCTGAATGCAGAGATGGTCCCAGGAAACTCCCTGCCATTCCGAGCCTGTTGACCAAACAGCTGCAGATTCTCAATTTACTAACTTTGGTTTTTCATCTTAACCACCTACAATAAACTCAGTAACTTTACAACAGCAAGCCTACATTTCAGTACAAAGTAGTACCGAAACTGAATATTTAATATACTTTTTTTTTAAATGAAAGACTGAATTTTATTATCATTCCATTGTTTACTAAAATAGCTGGAAGCTGTCAAGTCTTCCCACTCACAGCTGGCGCTCAGCTGAAAGCCGTTTTGTAAACGTTTTCCCTGAAAATAAGTGAATATCATGAACTGTGTATACGCCTGTGTATAATTACAGATGAGCAGTTCATCCTAAGCTCTCATTAGAAAAGGGAATGGGAATAACTCCAGGCTACAACCACCGCTTGCGGTTACGTAACATGCTCTTCTCCTTTTCAGTCTTTATCCCAGAGGCATCTGAAAGCTTCCCCGTCCTGCAAAGCCTGTTTCTTTCTTTTGTTTCTTTTTGTTTTTCATTCTGAGTTTCTAGATGAGGATTCTCCTAACAGCCAAACATTCTTCTGATATTTTACCTTTTTCTTTAGAAAAAAAAAAATATCTCTTTGTATAAGCCTTTGTTTGACTCGCTGTATACAGTGATGAGCATCTGACTTTAACTTTCGTATCCGTCCACAGGAGGGCGTATGTGAGCGGCGCTTTGTCTTCAATCTGGGTGAACTGCTGGCCTTCAGACAAAAGGCAAAACATTAAGAGCTCAACCAAAGAGAATATAATATATATTATTAGTAATATACAATTTAATGTATATTATTAAATAAAATAAATTTTTTCCCCAATATGTTTTCCCATACAGTGTGTTAAAACCCGTGTAGAGTGAATGGAGGATAGCTTAAATAGTAAAAGTTGATTTTTACAGTCCTTAATGTAGCACTGGGAAGGGCTCATTAGCAATTTAAGAAATGCATCAGCCAAAAGCTTCTCATCTTATACTTTTAGGACAAGCCTGAAGCAAGCTTTTTCTTTTCTTCCTTTCTTTTTGTCTTTTGCTTGTTACCTGTTTCCTCCACCCCCCACCCCCCTCCCCCATTCTTTAAAAGAAACACTTTCTTTTTGACCCATTCATTTCAATATTGAAGGTATGTTCTCCATTCACCTTGAAAGAAGGATTCCAGCCAGCCTCTCCACTCCCGCATCGCATCCCAGTCCACAGCATAGGTAGGAATCGTCCCTCCCCTAAACCAGCCCGTGTGGGAGGAGCTTGCTTTCCTCCCCTCAAAACTAAAGTGTATAACACTCTGGAGAGACCCACAATGTGTGTCAGAGGACCGTCTTAGCTCCAAAAGTAGATGACTGATCCAAATCTGGTGTCTGTATTAACTGCTGACTGCAAGATACGAGAAATATCGATTCACGCGTTTTCATCCCAAGTAAGGACGAGGTGAGCATCTTCTAATTTCAGAAGATATTCTTCACATTCTGTATCTATTGTCTTATATATCTCTAATAAATAGTTCTCAGATTCGAATGTTGTCATTCAATTTATTTTCTAACAAAAGTTGTTTTTTTTATTTTTTTAATTTTTTTTTAAAGAATAGTGCAGCCCTCATTTGTTTTGAGCCCCAGCAGTGCGTCATGGACACATTTACGCACGGACTCCTTTGAGATTTGTGCGGTTTTTTTAAAGCCCACAGTGGAGGCCATTTGGAATCTGTGTGTGGGCTTTTGACTCAGACACACTTTCTGTGGAGCACTTCTGTAAGAAAGAAATGTGGAGAGACGCTCTCCAACAGCGCACGCTGACTGAACCTCTCTTGTATGTTCACAGGATTTTCGATTGTTGGATAGAATGCCGGCGATCATCAGTAAAAACTCCGATTTGGAGTTTGATTCCTTACAACCATGCTTCTATCCGGACGAGGACGACTTCTACCTCTGTGGTCCCGACGCTGCGCCACCGGGGGAGGACATCTGGAAGAAATTCGAGCTGCTGCCCACTCCGCCCCTCTCTCCGAGCCGCGCAGCGCTACCGGGAGAGCCGGCGGCCGCAACTGCCTCTTCAGAGGCAGATCCCCTCGGCTTCAGCTTAGGGGACCCCCTGGACTGGGCTTCTGAGCTGCTGCTCCTGCCCGAGGACGACATATGGGGGGCATCCGACGACGGGGACCTTTTCGGCTCCTCTGTGGATACAAATCCCAACAACATCATTATCCAGGACTGTATGTGGAGCGGCTTCTCCGCCAGGGAAAAGCTGGAACGAGTGGTAACGGAGAAACTGGGTAAGGCGATTTCAACGGCATCGGCCGGGGGAAGGAACGCGTACGTCAGGGTGCCGGAGGTGGTGAGCCGCAGCTCGGTGTCGGAGTGCGTGGACCCCGCAATAGTGTTCCCCTTCCCGGTGAACAAGAAGAGCAGCAGCAGCAGCAAGGACGCATCTGGGACTGTTAACGCGTCCACAGCGAATGGAAGCGCAGCTAGTGACTCCGGTAAGAATCAGATGAACACCGTAATATAATTGAATATAATTGTTACACTTTTTTTTTTAAAGCGATTTCTCAAAAATATTAACAATGTCACACGTCTTCTCCGAATTTTCACACATTACTGTTATTATTTGAAGTCTGGTATATCTGTGAGACAGGATCTTGTTCATATGACTGGCCCAAAATCCGATTATCCCGTCACATTCGACACGCACACACACGCACGCACGCGCGCGCGCGCACACACACACACACACACACACACACACACACACACACACACACACACACGCACGCACACACGAGCCTGCAATTACACACGCATGGAAGCACACAGACGCACACTGGAGTAGTGACACAGTGAACCGTGGTTTTATGTAATCAGCGGGCTCTTCATCCGGCAGATGGCAGTAAAATAGGGAATTGTGCGCTTTGCTGAACTCAGTTGGCACCGGAGCCAAAAAAAAAAAAAAACACCACAGCAGCAGGCTGCAGGAGGGGGAGATGAAAAGGTTTTCAATAATGTGATGATCTGATAAAAGTGTGCCGTAAATGCTTTCATTACGCATGGATGAGGGAGACGATTTGCGCGCAGTTGGTGATAAATTGGCATTTAAACAGCTTGGCCAAAATGCAGCTAACTGAATGAATATCATAGACTATAAGAGTCTTTTACAACAATACAACAGGAGGCAGTTGTGTGTTAGATTGGAAAATTACCGTGCATTGCTTTTGGACTCGTATCTCCCTTTCCCCTGTCCCAGGAGCTCCCTAAATAAACACTCACACAACTCCTTATCCATGTGTTTTTGCTTGGAAAACAATGCTACAAAAGCCCCCGGACTTGGCACAGAATCCAGACTCGGTCAGTTCTGCCTCACACCTCCTCTGCAGTAAAGGAAAGAAGTCACTGAGTCCTGGTTGATTTTTTTTCTTTCCTCCCCCCCCCCCCTTTTTTTCTTATTTTGGGGTGGGCGGGTAGAGGAGTGTTTTGAGCAAGCGCTCCGCTCTCGACAGCTGTCTTCCTGGCGCCACTCCAGTTTTGGGGCTTAAATTGTGGTGATCCGATGGCCTGCCGCCCCACCGTCTCTGCGCACTCTGCCCCCAGACGTGTCCATCTTCTGTTTTGGAGTTTACATTTTTTTTCTTTTTTTTAATGAAAGGAATACACACTTTTAAAAGAAGAGTATTATGGGATTATGGGATCCTTTCAGTTTGGCCCATTTCAAAATTTCAACCCCCTTTTAATAATAATAATCAGAAAAAGTCAGTTTTACAGTCAAATTGCCAAGTGGAAGAAAGAACATGTAAAAAAAAAAAAAAAAAAAAAAAAAAAAAAATTTATTATTAAAAATTATTATTAATAAATTAATATATTAATTTATTCTACATCTCACTAAAAATTT